TGGACCACTTGTTTCAGTTAAAAACCATCATATTAGTGAAATTAAAACATTCTAAAGTTGAATAAGCTTGTAGTGCCAAAAATTCATTTCATTCTTGTGGGTATTGAGTATTGTGGCACAGCATTCTTAAAAGTCAACATGATTGCTGTGTCAATAATAAATTTCGTCCCTATATGTACGAGGCACGTCCAGAAAGTAGAGTGCAGGAGGTGCTTCATAGGGTTGGCCGTGTGAGGTCTGTTAACGAGGTAGCGAATGACGGTGCGAATTCCGCACTTGGCGGGAGACACGATCGACATTTTTCGCGAAAGATTCTACTGCGTTAAAAGTTTTCAACACACTCACCTGGTCTCGTTTTGAAGAGGAGGGGTCAAGCTACGCGGCAGTTTTGCTAATATGTCGAAAAAGTATTCCCTAAAGCTGTGAGAGCACCAGTACACTGAAATTATAATACCCATTGCAAGGGTATAAAAATAAGATTGGCACGTCCTAAATTAAAAAGCATATTATTAGTTTAAGTCCGCATTTTGTATACCTATACCTGATCATATAGGAAGGCCAAAGTCTCCCGGATCGATTAAAAAGATAATTATTAATCTTTTTGATCAAATCCATTGTCAGTCAGGGATTTACCACGGATGCAAGTATCCAACATGTGAATGGGTGCCACAATTTTCAGCTAATATAATTGCGAATCAAGTTTTGTATATTGCCTTCCCAGTTCCCAACAATTGCATCGGTCAGCATGTTTAATTTCACAGAGTACTTTTAAATTTCATGTTACATGGATTTTATTCTGAAGTCTAGTTCTAAGATCAAAAAACGAGTTCATCAGCGGAAAAACTTAAATCTATCCAGTGTGCCAGCATTTTTAAGAACTAAGGGTGCCACGTTCGTACCTTCAATCACCTAGGTTTCTTGACAGACAGTTGAAATTCAAAAATGTTATTTACGGGAAAGAGCCTTTAAAGGATATTCTCATCTACCTTGGCAAGACAAATCTGCCTATGTACAATGAAATTATGAAACAATACCATTTAAATTTATTATTTTTATTACATTTTTTTAATTTACTAATAATTATTTCGTAATTTGTAGTCTTAGCTGCGATAAAGTCTTGGTTTTTATACCCTTGCAGAGGGTATTATAACTTCAGTCAAAAGTTTGCAACGCAGTGAAGGAGACATTTCCGACCCTATAAAGTATATATATTCTTGATCAGCATCACCATGAGAGTCGATCTAGCCATGTCCGTCTCTCCGTCCGTCTGTCCGTCCGTCCGTTTCTACGCAAACTAGACACTCAGTTTTAAAGCTATCTGCTTGAAATTTTCCCAAAAGTTGTCTTTCTATTGCAGGTGGTATATAAGTCGGAACGAGCCGGATCGGGCCACTATATCATATAGCTGCCACATAACTGAACGATCGGAAATGCCATAACTTAGGTGTTTTTTAAGTTAGGAAGTTGGGATTTTCTATGGGTTTTATTTTTGGCCAATCAGTCTGACCTACCAAACTTCATAAGGATCGGACGACTATATCTTATACCTGCCATATAACTGAACGATTGGAAATGCCATAACTTTGGTGTTTTTAAAGTTAGGAAGTTGGGATTTTTTATGAGTATTAAGAATGTATCATATGAATAGTTTTGGAGAATATAATTTACAGAATATTCTGCAAGGGTATATCAACTTCGGCTCCGCCCGAAGTCAGCATTCCTGTCTTGTTCTATATAAGCTGGATCACTGTGCGTCGACGAAAATCAACCTCGGGACTTCCGCATAACTAACAAAAACATTGATTCAGTAAATGAGACCAGTCATGTTAAGTTCGTATAATTAAAATATAGGCTAAATTTTATACCATATTTTGTTAAGTTTTATTATAAAGAAATGTCATGGTATTTTCGTCAAATATTTGAGCAATACTGAAAAAATATTATCCCGATATGGGATAACGGGATTATCAGCTCGGCTAATAATAAGTTGTGAATTCACATCCGGTTACTTCGACGCCAATTTTTTACATATGATTTTTATATGACACTTTCATGCCATCAGTACCAGAGTTACTAAGGTAAAGCCTAGCAGCAACAAAAGGACTTACAATTGAGCTACACGTCCAGATTTATTAATATGTGCTTATAAAAACAACAGAATATAATTACATACAAATGGACTTTCCGTCAGCACTAGTCATTAAAATACTTAATGACTTATAAAAAATATATTTCTTTTTCCAATATTTTTAATTTCAATAAAATCATTATTACTTAAAATTATTGGATATTGTTTTTTCGTGTTTTCGCTCCTTGAAAAATCATTACGGGCTGAAATTGTACCACGTGGGCAATCTTTAAAGGAATTTTTGTCAGAAGTTTTAAAGGTCACATAAATAATAAGTAAATAAAAGTGGCTTAACACTTGCAAAAATCTTGAGACCAATTTGTGTGGGAAATTGTTCCACGGTTACCAATACGTAACTCATAAAGCAATTTAGTTTTTTTTGTAGAATATATAACCTAAAAATTCAAATTTGTAATCAAAAAGAAACATTTTAACACTGGTTATTTCAAACTAAAAATGTTAAATTATTCTTCTAGATGTTTGGAAAGTTCATATGCGTCTGCATGGGATTTTAAATGCTTGAGGAAAAATAGGTCATATTGTAATAAAAGGTAACTATGAGTAGTTGGCCAGGATGGGCACTTCCTTCCCTTTATCTCAACAAAAGATTAACATGTCAAAGGCTACTTGTAATCTTAAATGCAAAGAACACCTTAACCTGCTAGCAAATAAAAATTAGAAAAACCTCACATCCTGCAGAACCTCGTTCGAAATTTGCACGCTCCGAGCGCCCAAATGACCAAAAGAACTACATTCCCTTTAAGGAACAGAGCCATGGGCCATGGAGGTACGGGCTATTACAGGACACTGGCTGGTCGGAACACGCTTATCCCGACTCTCTAAAAGCTCAAGTTATTAAGTTTTCATGAAATTGTTAAAAATTGAACTTACACTAAGTTCGTTTAGGGCAAGGGCGGGAGCACTATAAAGTTCTATCTCGCTCTCGGCGAGGTCCAACCTTCGTTAAGCTAGGCTCTAAGTAATTTGTCTAAATATAGAATGCCATTTGTTGAATTAAATTGACGTTTATTCTTTTCGTTTTCGTTAGTTTTTTTTGCAAACTAAAAATTTTAGCCCATACAAGTTTTCGGTATATTTAAATTAGAAAACGATCTAATTTTTCATGGCGCCCCGGGTTGGACGCTAAAATTATTAATTAATAGGCAACTTAGTGACAGTGACAGAAATAAACACGAAAGAAACCTATACCTTTGAAGAATATTCTGTAAATTATATTCTCCAAATTATTCTTATACATTCTTAATACTCATACTTCTTCAGGGAGTGACAGTAACGGTGACAGTAATGATTAGTAACAGAGACATTTAAAGAAATCCACGGGATTATCCCATTATAACCTGGTAACAGGTAAAATTTGGCAAACTGTCAATTGGTTCAATGAACACGTGTAAGGGGCAAGAATTGTGCAAAGGACCGGAATTGCGCAACCGGTAACGCAGGTATGAGTGCAATTTATTGGTCGAATCGGAAACAATAGCACTACAGATTAGGACCAAAATGATTCATAACACCTAAATACATAAAATAAACATGAATTTTTATTGCCTTTTTGAAAAGGGTCAAACTAGGTAACCTTTAAATGGTCAATGGATAATTCTTTTTTATTTGGGACATTACCTAACTGGGCTATATATTCAGAAATCCTATAATCCGTAGATCAGTCAATGAAAAAATTGATCGACTTACGACGTTACTCTGTCAGTCTGTGAAAAGTATTTTTACAAGTGCAAACATTTAAAGAGAGAAGAAGTATTTTTTAACAGTGCAAAGTAATTTTTATCAGTGAAAAAATTCAAAGTGTGCCAAAGTATTTTTTGAGAATTTGTGAAATTCCTTGCGTGAATTACCCCCAGTAAATTCGTTCCGAAATAATAACGCCACGAGTGAACGTTAAGTTCATAGGAAATTATAACTATATTTGCTAATAAGCCGTGTCTCTTCTTTTCACGGTGAAGTACAATGTCGAAGTCGTTTTTAGTGTGAGTGATGTGACCAGTTTGTTACTTTGTAAATAATACTCCAAATTACAACACGCGCCCACAAAATAACCATATATAAATTAATTGATACAAGTGATGATTGAAGTAGATATCGAAGAACTCGCTTAGCTGCTTTCCAGTGGTTAGCATCGTAGCTCGAGTTGAACTGACTTAAGAAGTTCACTGCGTAGGCCATGATACAATAACATAAGGTAGTCTCGTCGGCAAATTTTGGTACCCTACTATTAAAACAATGAGTGCGAGTGAGACGGGAACTGTTTAGTAAGTGCGAGCAGAGCGACAATAGAATGTGTGGATTAACCCTTAGATGGTTCAGGGGGTTTTTTTTGCCTTTCCTAATAAAAGTAGTTTAATTTTTTTTATAATTTAATTTTTAATAATTTTGAATTTGAAATTAGGCGTTGTTTTTGTCTCTGAATACTGAGTCTTTTGTTAAGATTCTTAATTCTAAAATATATTCTAATCTTAAAATAAAACTTTTTTATGTCTAAACTTATATTAACATTTTCGGCTGCAATTATTAAAGTTTCGTTTACATTATTTGTTATTTTAAAAGTATCACAGCGATTCCTCCCACAGCGCTCTTTTTTCCAAACATTTCGGTGCCTTTACGTCATCGACGTGTTTGCGGCACACATTGCAAAATGTCATGTTGCTCAAGGGTTAATTTCCTAAAAAATTCGTCCGCAGACAACCTTTCCCTTCGAAAGACGAACACGCACTGACCAAAACCTGAACGTTTAGACAGCCGACGAGACTACCTTATGTTATTGTATCATGGCGTAGGCGATGTCTGGTCGAGTCATAACTAGTGTTGGGAAAGGTACTGTTTTTTTTACCTAAGTAAGGTAAAAGCTCTTTGGCAAAAATAAATACCTAGGTACGGTAAAGATACTTCATTTTCCGAGTGTTTTTAATTTTTATGATTTTTTTGTTTTATTTATTTGTTTGTTTGATTTATTACATTGGCGAATCAATTCAACTTAAAATAAGACTAGGTTTCAGGTTTTAGTCCTCTTAAAAATAACATTATCTTTTCATTTTCATATAACAATCAAAATTTAAATGTTGTCTTTTTTTAACATAACTAATTTTTCGAAAAACTCGTCCCCCAGCTTGTTTCGTATTGGGGTTCACAATTAAAAAAATATTTCAACTCGCGCTGAGCTGGGCAGAATTTCATTGCATTTTAGGAATACATCCAAAATGCGTTTATATTTATGTTAAGCTGTTAAATTTGTGTAATGCTCAACGTGAAATTTTGGTAAAATCTCCCCCACGATGTAGTGGCACACTTTCTGATTGATCTGCAAATATTTAAATAAATACACATTATTATATTATATATTGAGTTATTAAATTTTGTCATTAATGTAATTACCTGGGCTGAACTCAAGGAACCGAAAAACGATTTTGAATTTTCCTTAGAAAGTTCCTTATTAGTTTCAGTTTTCTTAGCTTTCATGGCCTCTTACTCCGTGTAACTGCTTGGATGAACCCCCTAAGTTTGTTGAAGATTTTTTTAAATTAAGTCAAAATTTTTAAGCCCATAGGCTTAATTGTGTGTATACATTTTTAAAACACACGGCATGCATAAATGTAGAGTTTTACGTGCATTAATGCATTTATGAAACCCCCTTTTACATATTTCGGCGCGCAAAAATTCCGTATGTAGAAACTTTTGACTATATATTGTTCATTTGTATATGCTGTATTCATACGGCATTTTTGCGCGCCAAATACACTTTTTTCTTAAGATGTACAAGAGTAAATGTGTATTTGGCGCGCAAAAATTCCGTACATATGTAGAAACTTTTGACTATACATGCATGTTAACGTACATACGGCATTGTTGAGCGCCAAATTCACTTGGGTTTCATAAATACATTGATGTGGTGATACGTACATACATTAGTGCACAGTATAATATACAATAAAACTGCGATTTTACCCCTAGTCATATTTTCATTCTCAAATATGTTTGTGCAGATTTATCATCAAATTTGATTGTTTTATTGAGACACAACACGCACTTGCAGTCCGGCTTAAAAAATGTGCCATTTAATATTACTGGCAATACTTTATACATTTATATTTTCTTTTTCGGCAATGCAAAGGTTACTTCACAAAACGAACATGAGAATGGCTAAGTTCCACTGACTTTTAATTCTGCGTTCCGACTATTACAATTTCGAAACGAAACGTACGTGTACCATGACGTGGAGATGTGGTGGACTAAGCTTATTTCAGTGTCGCAGTCAGATTTGGCTATTTTAAATCAGAGCATTGTTCAATACCTAATAATTCCAAACGTATATAAAAATCTGTAGCTAGGTAAGGTAAAAGATACCCAATTATATTTATCTAGGTAAGGTAAAAGGTACCAAAAAATTGTACCTAGGTACGTACCTGGGTAAAAGTATCTAGGTATGTCCCAGCACTGGTCATAACTGAAATAAACATTAAAGTGCCAATTAAACTTTGATATGGATACCTTTCCATTACATTTTCGTTGGGTTGTTCCGGTCGTTTAAGTGAGCACTTCGCCTCGATTGGAGTTGCAGCAGGTTTCCAATCAACCAATTTGAATCTCTTCAAAGTTATATTAATGTACTTTTGCTGTGACATTGAAACAGTACGCTTTTGCAAGTTTTGATCAAATTCAATACCCAAACAGTTTTTAACAGGACCAATATCCTTCATTTCAAACGCCTTGTTTAAATGATCTTTCGCTTGAATAAGCCATTTTGGATGATTTGTGGCTAACAATAAATCGTCGACATAAATAGTGATAAACAAAATTTTCTGCCCTTTTCTCTTTGCGAAAAAACATGGATCCTGTTTCGTTGGCTCGCATTCAATTTCTTTAAGTTTTTCGGTGAGCTTGCAGTACCAGCGCAAACCTGATTGCCGTAAGCCATAAGCGCCTTTTTGATTAGGCATGTGGGATTTGTGGCTCTCTTTTCTCCTGCGGTCAGCTCATTTGCCATAGCCACAATTTTGGGATCAGCTGCAATCTGTATGGATCCGATGGGTCCACCTGCTTTTAATCGCCGCGCAAACTCCATGAAGTCATCGGGAACACTCATGTACACCTTTTCTTCTAGCTCGCCGTTGAGGTAAGCAGTGACGACGTCCATCTGATGGATTTGCATATCAAATTCTGCTGCTCGAGCTGTCAATAGCCTTATTGACGTAGATCGCACCACCAAGGAAAACGATTCCTGAAAATCCTCTCCAGGACGCTGAGAGCAGCCTTTCGCTACAAGTCGAACTTTCTTCTTTCCTGTATTAGAGCCATCGTCCTTGATTCGAAACACTAATTTGTTTCCGATAAACTTTCTGTCACTTGGCCGTTCAACGATCTCCCACGTTTTGTTGATAATGTGGGCCATGTATTCGTCCTCTATTGCCTGGGACCAGCCGATAGAATCAACGGAGCTCTTCGCTTCGTCAAGGGTTTCCGGATCATCCGTGATGGCTACGTAAACACATTCGCATTCCTCAAATACGTCTTTCGGTGTCAAATCGGCATCTTCAACTATTTCTTTCTGCGTTGGGTGATACATTTTCCGCGGTCTACCGGGTTTCCCATTTCTTTCTATTTTGGGACGTCTTCTACCATGTTTCGGCGCATTTGGTTGCACCATTTCGTCGCTTGATGAGTCATCATCGTGGTCTTCCGGATGACTTAGATCGGCTTCTTGCTTTGTTTGGATTTCAACGCCGATTTCTTGCTCGTCATCGTAGAACTCGGAGTGAACGCTGTTAAATCCTGGAATATTCAAAAATTTAACATCTTTGCTTACGAAAGTCACTCGACTCTTCGGCGAATAAAAACGATACGCTTTGGACTCTGAGTCATATCCAACCAGAATGCACTCTTCCGACCTTCATTCGAACTTGCCTTGATTTTTGCCTTTAACAAGTGCATATGCTTTTGTACCGAAAATACGCAGATGCCATACAGTCGGTATTTTACCTGTCCACTGGGTATAAGGAATTCCGCCATCTAAAGCCTTTGTCGGACATCTGTTTCGGATGTAGCTTGCCGTGTTTACCGCTTCTGCCCAAAACGATGGTGGTGCCCCAGACTGCCTCATCATGCCTCGGGCCATTTCGATTAAAGTACGGTTGTGCCGCTCCGCAATCCCATTTTGTTGCGGCGTGTGCGGTGTAGTTAGTCGTCTCCTTATTCCATGTGTCTTGAAAAAATTTTCCATTGCCTTATTGCAATACTCGGTGCCGTTGTCCGATTGAAGAGCCTTAATCTTCCTGCCTGTAAAGTTTTCCGCCGAGGCTTTATAGGCCTTGAAAGCCTCGAATACATCAGATTTCTGCTTAAGAAAATGTGTCTCACAATAGCGGCTGTAATCATCTATAAAGGTGACAAAATATTTGCGGTGCAATTTCTAATAAACAGCTGGTTCTCTTATCATCCGCCCTTTTGTATGAAGACACTGTTTGTTTTTCACTGATACAGACTTCACACTCGGATGGGTTTAAGTTCTCACCAAGCTCCAAACCATGCACTTTTCCTGATCTTGCCATACTTATTAGATCACCTCTATTTAGGTGACCCATTCTGCGATGCCACAAATCGAAATTGTTTTGATTTTCTGTCATCTCCAAAATGTTTAGCAATTAACCATTCTTTCCCGTTGTTTAAAACGACTGCATAATTTTTCCGAAAATGCACCTCAAAACCTTTGTCTGTAATTTTCGACACAGATAATAAATTTTGGCGTAGATCAGACACATACAGAACTTCTCTCAGTGTTACTTCGCTCTCACGTTTTACGTCGTTTGTTCTGATTTGCACGTTTATATCGCCGACTCCGTTTACTTTGGTTGTTTCCTTATTTGCCAAATGCAGCTTTTTATCAGTGGTCTCTATATTTTTAAATAGTCTCGCGTTTGAACTCATATGAGATGTGCACCCACTATCAATACACCACATACTGCCTAGAGCTGCTGCACCGTTTACCTCTTCTGCAATATTTAGCGTTGTTGCCATATTCCCTTTTTCGTCGGACTTCTCACTCTGTCTAGTGTTTCGTCTCCACGTGCAGTTCCGCGCTAGATGCCCAATTTTATTGCAGGCGAAACATTTTCTGTTCTCCTTTGGAGCCGTTTCCTTCGCATAGCTGTACTTCTGCTTGCTGTACTTATGCCGGCTTGCGTACATTGCGCTTTGATCATCTCGTTCGATTTTTGTTTTACGCGCACTAGATTCTTCTAGAATTTTGTCACGAAGTACACTTGGACCTGGCAAGTCGTCTCTGGATTCCATTGCGCACCGAAATGTTTCGTACGATTCCGGTAAACTGTCTAGTAATAGTATTGCTAACAGATCGTAACCTATTTCAACTCCAATTTCCTTGAGTTTGGCCACGGCGTCGAAGAAATCATGGATATGTTGGCGTACATCTCCATCCTCAGACATTCGTGATAGCGCGATCCGTTTCAATAGGCCAGCTTTTCGCACGGGGCCTCTTGATTAAAACTGCTCCTGAAGTCTTAACCAACAAGCATGCGAAGTTTCGCAACCGTCCAGTAGTGGCAACTCGGACGCGCAAATGGACAATATTATGTACGCTCGGGCCTTTTCATCTTGCCGCCACCATGCCACCTTCTTGTCTTCTTCAGACGGGCATTCTTGTGTACCGCTTACATACTCCCATAAATCGTTTTTTACTAATACGGCACGCATCTTTAATTTCCACGTATCGTAGTTTTCTGCATTAAGCGCCTCGATCTTGATGAACGCACCCGCCATTTTTGATTTCGCGACTTGGTTCGTCCGTACAAGATTAAGAAAAACTTCCTGGGTTCTCTTGGTTAGACTGGGCCCATAACCTGTGAGAATTTGTGGAATTCCTTGCGTGAATCACCCCCAGTAAATCCGTTCCGAAATAATAACGCCACAAGTGAACGTTAAGTTCATAGGAAATTATAACTATATTTTCTAAAAAGCCGTGTCTCTTCTTTTCACGGTGAAGTACAATGTCGGGGTCGTTTTTGTGTGAGTGATGTGACCAGTTTGTTACTTTGTAAATAATACTCCAAATTACAACATATTTTTACATGTGATAAAAATTAAAAGTACGTTAATAGCGTGCTAACAATTGTTTTCAAGTAATATTTGAAACACAAACTTTGGTAAGTATATTTTGCTAATAACTCCTTAACTTTCAAATTCTCTTAAACTCCTATTATACCCGTGCAATTCCATGTAGGTTATTTTATCTGCAATCATTCCATTATTTTCATTTTTTTCACACAGCATTATAAAAAATGACACGTGTAACTCGCTTGTCCCAAAAGCAACACCGCCAAGCTGCTTTAAGCCGCAGTAGAGCCCGCTATGAACGGAATGCGTCCCAAATAAGAGCTCGGAACTCTCAACATATCGCCAATGCTCGCGGCAATAACCCTAACTTTCGGGAAGAAAGTCGTGCTCAGGAATCCACTGTATGCGCGCAGCGGAGAGGAAGCGAAAGGGTTCGCAACCTTGAACGGATTCGAGACGCAGAAGCGCAAGCGCACAAACTCGTCGGGAGGACTCGGAGGAGCGAAGACAAGAGCAGTTGCGAACCTCCGCTGAGCATGCGTCTCCGAGGACTAACCCTGAAATGCGTTATGCGGAGCGTATTCAGGATCCTGAAAGACATACGAATCGCCCACAGGACCTGGACTATCGTGTCTCAGAGCGGAATCGGGATATGGAGGCACGGGCGACCCGTCGACAGGACTCTGAGAAGCAGTTGCGAAACAATGCTGAGTACTCTACTCGGAGGACTATTCCGGAGTACCGAACGCCGCAGCGCGAGCTGCTCATCGCGAGGACCCAGAGGCACGTGCAAGGGAACAGAAAAGGAACACTGGAGAGCACCAACAGCGACGAAAAGATACGGAAGACAGGCAGCGAGAACGGGAATGGGACGCCGACAACAGGAGAGCAACCAGAAGAAATCCCATCGCAAGATCACAGGAGCAACGGATAAACACCTCACAACGCCGGGAAACACGACAACAGCGGAGGATTCGGGAATAACAAATTCGGCAAATAGATCCCCAAAATCGACTGGATGCCTCCCAAAGGCAGTCGCAACGAAACATGGACGCAAGAGCTCAAGAGGATGATCTGGAACAGGAACGAGGACAACAACGAAATAGGATTCGAGCATCAGCGAGCGATCTGTATCACAGGAACATAAAGAAAAGCCCATCGGCTATTTGTATTTGCTGTGGAGAAACATGGTTCCGTTCGCAGGTAAGTGGATTATACATCCTGGCTATCTTTTCTAAATTTCCTCTCCTAAACGTTGGCAA